TGACTCAGAACAGGATGCCCCCGACCTTTTCTTCGAAGTGGACCCTTCTCGCATGAATAGCTGACCTTGTTTTCGGGATAGAGGCAGAGGCTCCGGAAGTCTTTCTTTGGAGGGGGGGCTCGACATCTCCGAAATCCTTAAAGGGACCATGAAATGATTTTAAAATCTAATTTCATCCACCGCACGTCGTAAAAGGTGTGAAAAGAAACACAAAAACACAAAACTAGGGAGCCAAAAAAAATTATTTGCTATAGAACTTTTAAAAGAAAACTGGACTCTTTTGCGACTTCTTTCCTTCGAAAGCTCTGCCTTTTCACTACGATGCATCCGCAGAAATGGAGCACGTCAGCCGAATCCACGTCGCCTATTGGGTAAGAGCCTACCTCACCAGCACCGCGATCGTAAACAATAAATAGCCGGCGAATGTTTCCTAAAAGTTTTGTTAAATAATATTCAGACCCACATTTTGTAGCATAATGAGAGATGTGTGGCGAAAATTGCCAAATTTGATAATGCTGAGAGCCAAGCGCCATCTATCGTGTGGTAAACGAAGCAACTACTGCGCGTGCGCAGTAGGGCAGGGCTGGCAGGGCCGACTTGAGAACGGTTGTTTCCTTTGGTTTCCTTCCTCTCAAAACTCTGACTGACTGAACGTTTATTTTTCTACGTGTTCATCTCGCGCGTGCCGACTTCAAGCAGCAAGAAAAAAATGTACTTAAAACAGACCACGACGAACAAGAACGCTGGATCCACAAACACCCGAGAAGAGCGACAACAGCCGCGAATCGCGCTCCGACGAAGCTCTCAGAATATAGGCCTAGCAGGCACTCCGACTCGGCGCAGCGTTGCTTCGTCGCAAGACCGTCTGTCTGCCTGCGACCGGCTGGCGTGCTGAATGGAATATGCCCGCGCTACCCTTGTGGGGTACCCTTGTGGACCCTTCCCGTATAATAGTTTGATCGCTGACCTCAATTTTACGTTAAGAGGTGAGGTCAATCTCTTCCCCTTGTTTTCCGAGGCAGTGTTGACGAACACTCGTCGAAAAGGGACCCTCGTCGATTCTCTCTTCTTGTTTTGTGTGATATAGAGCTGAAATAAACGCTGTATGGATTACCTTCGTAACACGGTATGTACACTTTGTTATTGGTATGCCATTTTTATCCTGACAGACTGCACGTCACTGTCGAGCTGTAACACTTCGTGAGAGGTATACGTGCAATACCGGTCCAACCTTTCTTTGCCGAGTGTCGCGTCAGTATCGAGTTGCAATCGTAAAAGATCGGTCCCGAAGCGCTTACCAACAGCGCGAATACAGCACTTCCATCAAACGCGCGCGTCCGCTCCGAGTGTTAACAGGTATTTACGTGGCTCTTGCTGACACTCGTAGTTCAAACGTATCTTTTTTAACGTCGGCTCGCTCCTGCATCTCCGAGACCGCGAAAAACGCCGCGGCAATTTGTTTCCATCTACGTCGCTTTGCAAACGACTGACACTGGCCGCCTTTTGCCAACAATGGTAGTTGGGTTGACTTCTGGAGTCTTCACCGGAAGACTCGCTGCACTTCCCAACAGGCATGCCAGTGTATGGGACTAGTCCCATGCTGTCGCTGTAGCGCAACATATCTCGTTGAATTTCGCTCAGCTGCGATGCGGCGATGAGAGGCGCCGATTCAGAAAATACATCGGTGACATCGGCGCAGTAAAACCTACCGGCGCACCCCAACTCGTCGCCGCTAATGCTCCCATCTCCTACTGCCGAGAGAAGTTCCGGTTCCGGAAATAGCGTACGTCACGGCTTGTTTTGCGGTCAAGAAAAAGTCGATATTTCATTAATTTTTTGTGTGGAAGTTAATAAACCGAGACGAAAACGGATGCCTGTTCGGCATTCAGTGAACATTGACGGTTTAATGTAAAAGTTATCTGGAAAAAGTAAAAAAGTCATTTCATGGTCCCTTTAAGGTTAGGTCGGTTTCAGGTTGACCTTAATTGCCATATTGGAATGAAAACATATTAATGCAGCGTGTTCGCATATTCACGCACATATCCATGGAAAAGTAAAACGATGGTTCAGTAAAATAACAGTAAGAAGCTTGCACTGACAACTCATACAATGACTGGACAACCACTGATATCAGCCGCACCATGTGTTCTTTAATTTTTCTTTCCTGTATCAACTTTTACATATCAACTGCAGCTCTGCCTATGCCAAATTGGCTATGTCTAAAAATGAAAACGTTCCTTCATTTAGGGATTCTCGGGAAAGCATGATGTATTAACGCAGACGTAGACATACAAGTGTGAAAAGTTTTCGACAAAACCCCGAGACTCGGGGGGAAAAAAAGGACAACACAACACAAAGTCTCATACACAGCAATGTTGCGCCATCAGATGTCTCAACTGGATGCAGAGATTGCATGCATCGTTATGTACATCAGGGTCAAGTACATCGACCGTGATCGCTTCGGACTCCTGGCGTCAATGCAAGTTGGGGGGCATCACAAAAGGAAGGTGCTGAATGATAAGAGCTGTTTGAGACTTCGTGTTGTGTTGTCCTGAGTTTGTAAACATGTGTCGCCTAATACCTCACCACCCTGCGGGCACGACGCCGCATGCGCGCAAAGCTTTCGCCATCGAAGGCGCCTTGTCAAATTTGGGAGCTCGTAGACTTGCCTTTTCTAAGCACTCCCGAATCCCCACTCAAGCTCACCAGCCCCCCCTCCCCCTCCTAATGATGGCCTTTAAGCGCCGCGGTAGTACCGCCTGCCTGTTTTGTCCGCGGGCCAGAGAAGCACCATGCACCTTCTGGGCTTCTTCCTTCCGCACGGGAAAAGCAGACAAACGCTCGCGGACGTCGTCTTGTCGGAATCCATTCATTTCGCTGTCCCCTCTTAGTTCGCTCTAAACCGGTTGTCAATCAGGCTGATGAGTCCTGCCTGTCATTTTCTTCTGGCTTTGACTTTTCAAGCAAGCCTCTCCGTCGCCCCGGTGCTTTTTGTGCTTGGCGGAGGTGAGGAGGGCGGTAGGTCAGCGTGCATAAAGGGTCATTTATTTCGGCTCAGGAGAGACGGAGGTACAGCAGATAGGCCGAAGGCCCATACCAGATAGCCTGCAAACACACAAACTAAAAAAAAAAAAGAAAAAGAGGGAGGGGGAGGGGGGGCTCGGCAGCTCGGTTCTGGGGACAGGAGGGGCTCAAGCCCACCCTGCCCCCCCCCGCTTCCGGAGCCCCTGGAGAGGGCCAGTTTTTCCCCCTCGTTGTTGTTCACTCTTATCATTTTCAAAGTTGTGAGCGGTGGGGTGGACCGTGGTGCGGGGGAATGTGTTCGGTGCTAGTCGGTCGTGGCTTCGTTGGTGGCGGACTCTCCTCATGTCACTCGCTCGTCGATCGAGTCTACTGTTTGTTTGACATTAAGCTCAAATAAACGCCGTATGGATTACCTCTGCATTGTCTGGTACGTACACTTTATTCCTTGAGTAGGTTCCCTTTATTTATTTTATTCGTAGTAAACGTTACAGCTCGAGCTAGCGCAGGTACCCTGCCCCCTCCGCGGTAGTGCGTTGGCTACGCAATCAAGCTCACGACGTCTCTATCGGCCTTCGTGGTGGTCATGCACGGTGTCGAAAGCTTACAATAGTTCACGCGACTATCTTAGTGGGTAGAAAGGCTGACATTTCGGTCGATCAGGGGCGGGTTCTGATGTTCTACAGGCAGAGATTAACAAGGCAGCGAGCCTGGGCTGTGGCAACCGGAATAATAAACAAACTCTTACCCGAACCAAATCACCGGTGCGAAGCCCGATAAAATTACGAGTCAATTCTTTTCGCGGCGGATTCAAGTGACGGACGTGAATATGACGTTTCTCCGTTGTTTTGTCGAAAGCAGCGCTAGGACTACAGCGCCTTGGACGCCTCACCAGCGACAGGTGCCATCTTGTTTCGAAAGTCACTGACGTCACGTCAGCGTCGCGTTGTGATTGGTTGCCGCTTTGCGGTTCGTGAAAGCGGTTGGGAGAAATCGGTCCCGAAGCGGTTGGCAAAAACGCGCTCCAACCGCTCGATCCTAGCCGCTTTGCGGTTGAGAACGCGCGGATCCGCTTCGCGAACGCGGATCCGTGAACGCGCAGAACCGGTCCCGGTTTGGTACCTGGTAGCCGACCGGCGCCACTGCGCGTGCGCAGAGGTGGAGATTAAAATCGGCTGGCTGCAAGTGCACCGACCAGGGCCGTACCCATAAAACAATTTCGGGGGGGGGGGGGGGGGGGGGGGGTCAGAATCCACTAACCCCCCCCCCCCCCCCCCCCCTGGTTACGGCCCTGGGCAGAACATCTGGATATGGGTCGACCGGGCTGATCCAGATCTTCCGCCAGCGACGAGCGAATCTCGCGAGCGTATACGCACCATTAGGCTTTGACGGCGCGTAGCGTAGTAGTTTTCGAAATCGCCTATTTATGATCATAACTCAATCTACGAGCTCTAAGCATCCTAAAACCTAGGGTTAGATTGACACGCGTCGAACTCATCAAAGATCGCTACAGGCCCGTTTTTCTGCGATTCGGCGCAGAAATCAGAGTGTGCCATCGGACGTGCAACAACCAGTCGCGAGTGATAGCACCCCGCGCGAATCGCACACATTCGAAAGTCGGTCCGCCGTTGGTTGGCTCCCCTCGCCGTGCGGGAAGCGATCACTCGCGATTGGCTGTCGCACGTCCGACGGCGACCTCTCGATTCTGCTCTTAACTGCGGAAAAGCGGGCGTGTCGCGATCATTGTTAGTTATCTAATTTAATAGGGAAATCGAACGCTTTCAATCTAATCATAGGTTGTTGTTGTTTTTTACATAGAGACCGTAGATTTACTTAACCATAAATGAACGACCTCCGAAACCACTGTAGTGCACCTTTGAGGTGAAAATGAGCATAAAAGCCGTAGAACAGAAGGCTCTAAGGGAAACGCTGGCGGCAAATATGAGAAATAAAGACACGAGGTTCCTCCTCAGACACGGTCAAGGCTGTACAAGGCATTTATTGGTGAAAACCGGTATGCCTCCCACTCCACCCGATTCCTGGCGTTCATGCCACTTCAGCAGGGAGGCATGTCGCTGAGTGCCGCGTAGCGACCAGTCACGTGGTGAAAAAGCTGCCGCTCGATGTCCCCTAGCAGACCACTGGCGCCGATGCGGAACAGATCTGGCTGGAGCCATTCGTCGCCGAGCTCTTCCTTCATCAGGAACTGCCAGGAAAGCGCGTCCTTGGCAGTTCGAATTCCACCGGCAGGCTTGAACCCGACCTGGAGGCAAAGGATGTGGGGCGATTCTCATCATGGCGAGCCAAAGCCGTTTATAGTGAGAGAGTTTGGCCAATGGGCAGAGCTTGTTGCCTGCCAGAACCAGCAGATTTTGCGGTAACACAAAATGGCGTTACTTCTTTGTCTGTGAAATAGCATAGAGTTCCTATGAGTCAAGGCCACGAAATGGAGGACGGAAGTAGACATCGCCCGGTTGTCAGACTATGCTGCTGTGGTTGCCAGGCTGTGAGAATCTCCTTAAAAAGGCCAAACTCTCTCAGTATAAACGGTTCTGCGGCGAACGTGCGCGAGACGACACCACCTGGAGAAATCAAAGCCCGTGCACTAGCGTTTTGACGTCCTCATAGTGAGGCCGACTGCAGGCACCGATTGGATGCGAGTGTTGTGTGGACGTTCGGCTTGGACTCGTCTCCAATCAAAGAGTCAAAGGACGCTCAGCGTCGAACTCAGGCCCTACAGGCCCTGTTGCCGAGTTGCCGCCATCCAAGTGTGATGATGTTCCACAGAGGTAGAGGAAGCAGTTCCTAGGCTTATTTAAGGTGGTGTGGCACAAGGTCACCACTTCCCTCCCTGATCCCCCGCATCTTTTCCACTAGATGGCATCGTCTTCCTTAGAGGACAACAGTTTTTCCGTCTGCTGTAACGCTTCGTAATGTTGTGGCGCAAGCGACGTCGCACCAAAAAGCATCACACGACGTCACAGTACGACGTTGTAGGGTCAGTCACTTCACGTTACATTCCGACATGATGCATATGACACCACATGACTGTGACACAGTGTGACCCGACACTCCGTCCGATGACATGACACTGCGTCACTTTTACGCCGGTTCAGATTCTGCCGCTAAATTTAGCTATCGAGCCATGACGGACAGGTGCACACTATCTCACGGTTTGGTGGCCCCAAATGCCATCACATTGAAACCACTGTCCAGGTTGCGTAAGTCAACGCCCAGTTTAGTCGTATGCATGTATCCATCCTTTCACCCATGACACTTTTTGAAGAGAGCATATGAGACATGGACAAATAAGTCGAAACATCAAAGAAGTAATCTGGCTTGCAGCCGTGTTCTGCCATATCGGGGAGGCAGTAAAGTAATGTCAAGGGTGCAGGGATGTATTTTACGAGCCTTCAGTAGCCAGAGAGTGTGGATATTTCAAACAGACCAACACAAAAGAGCAATATCAGTATTGTGCTTGTTGTGCTATTTCGGCCAAGGTGATCAACCTGTCCCCTTCTGCAACATTCCAGCAAAATAAAGAATTCCCGTCATCACTGCGCCAAAGGCTTTTATCGTTCTCAATGCCAAGACTAAGAGAGCGTTCTAGGGAACTTGTTTTGCACATCCGATATGGTACAGTGGGCCCTCCGGTACAAACTGCGCATGTGCGAGCGAGTCTTCTGCGGTGCCACATGTGCAGTTCTTACCCGAGGGCCCATTGTACCATATCAAATGTGCAACAATGGCTCCTTAAAACTCTCTAATCACGCAATTCTCGCTACTACCGAGTTGATGCAGTACATATTGTAAACTTTTTTTTTGAATTCCAATTGCCAATTTAGATAAGTGTGGGCCGTGCATGATTCAAAGGTGTAATCAAAAAATACTTTGAATTAATACTATCTGAAAACTGTAAGTAGCAGTGAAGTTAAAGCTAAGGGCCTCCGTGAACTTGCACACTTTTGGGAGCCAATCAAAGCTGCGCAAGCCCAAAAAGGGAAGTTGGCTTCTCCCCGAGCACAGCTGCACTGTGGAGAAGCGACATCCACGGAGTGAACATAGCTACCTTGCATACCTCGTTTTGTCACAGCACAGACACATGTTTAGTGGCCAAATGCTCCTTCAGAGCAAGATGGAAAACAAGCAAATCGTGTAGTAAAAAAAAAAGTGGAATTTGGCGAATGCTGATGTGACAACCCACGTTGCACTAAAGTTTCAAAGTAGAATGGCAGCTATTATCCGAGAATATACGTTAGACTGCGATGTTGTGACAAGCTGCGTGCGTCAGTGGTCATATTTGTGCATTTCAAACTGAGAATTTAAGAAATGGTATTTGGGTATGGTGAGGGATCTCTGCATCCCACCACCATGGTCTAGGTGCTCTGCACTACAGTAGGCATAGTTTAGCTCACACCCCTTGTATAATTGCCACCTCTATAAAAGGCTTGATCGTTTAAAGGCAAAATAGATAAATAATATGATTACAAGTAAGTAAGCTTAGGCAATGGTTGAAGAGAAGTTAGGAAATTACTTTTACAAATATAGCTATATTTCTATTTAAAAACCATACTTATTGCAGAATTGCGTGAGGGAGAATTAAAATGTCTGCTGTGCAATGAATGCCAATGTATGCAGTTAACCACATATTGAGCACTGAACTTCAATGTGTGATAAAATCACTAATAATGGGTTAATCTTAAAAGTGCTCCCAACATTGTATTCTCTACACTTCGTAGTATCTAGTCATATGCTAAAGAGGATATTTTTTTGAGTAGAGTTTTCTCTATTGTTCCACCAAACAAAAGCAGGCGAGTTCTATTTATCTTGAGGACAATTCTAATGACTGAGAAGATGACCAGATATTTGAAATCAACATAAAAAGATGAATAAGCTTGTGCAGTTTCATTGAGTTTGGTCATAAATTAAGAAAAAGAGCTCCAAGACCAGTGTTCCCCCTTAAAGGGGTACTCCACCGTTTTTTTTTTATTGTCTCCGATTTGCTTGAAATTTCGCTAAACTAACCAACAAACATTGCTAAAATAGTATCCCAAATATTAGGTCAAAATATTGTTTTTTCGCGAAGTTATTGAATTTACAGTTTTGGTCTTCACCATGTTTTTCAAACTGAAAGTCTCTACTGGCAACAACAACAAAGTGACGTCAGTGGAAGGCAGGGGTTAACTTTTTGGACTACAAAAGTTGTTCCCAACGGATTTGAAGCAGTTTCTTGGTGTCAAATGACTGCTTTGGAAGCTCGCTCCCGTATCCGCGCTCCAGCACGGAACAAATGATTGGCATATTCTATTTCTAGACTACTTGCTCGACTGGCAAGCCTGCCTGCCACTGACGTCACGGCACTGAAAAGTGCGCGAATATTTGAATATTAGTTTTTGCACCATTTTCATTTGCCGATTTCACAATACCTATGATGAATTTCGCGATGCTAAATAGCATACTGGAAAGGCTAAAGGCCGGGGAGTCAGAAAATATAATTAGTTGAGGTAGCTCAAAAAATCGGAGGAGTACCCCTTTAACCCGTCACAGACTTTAAGCAAAAATAAGCCAAAAAAATGCAAGGCCAAGTGTGAGCCATAAGGCCTTAGTGACTTTGCTGGCTAGTACCTGATATCAGACTAAAAAATTTACACGCTGAGGAATTTTATGCGACAAGCCCGAAAAAGCAGCATCCACCAAATCAATTCAACCGACCGTAAAAAACCGATCATGTGCCTCCGTCACAATACGTGCCCACCAGGGCTGCGCAGAGACACCCTAAAAAGCGTCCCAGAATACAAATACTGAGATACATGTATTTTTAGGCCAAAATACATATACTGAGGCACTACATTTGTGTTTAAAGTAATGGGATACCCCGAAGATACTTTTGCAAAAATGGCAAAAGAAGTGTCCCGGAATGCAGATACAGATATATACTGAAATCCCCTTTTTACTGCACATGAAGACACAGTGCATATGATGATGCAGTGCATTTCAAACAAGGTCACATGTATCGCAAGTATCAAATATAAAATGAAATATAAACATTCAAATTCTCGACCAACACATACTGTAAAATGCCGAGCAAGCGCCTACTCAAAATTTGAAGAGAATCACGAAAAATGGGGAATGGACATATCTGAACACATCAATTTTTTTTCAGAAGTTTCACATTTTGGGGGAGGGCGCTTCGTGGGGAATGGGCGGATGCACGGTATTCTACGGTATATGTATTTAATCAGAAAACAAATTTGCAAGCTTCTAATTAAACTTCAGCATCAGAGCATCAGTAGCTTTTCAAAGAGCTTATCATCGAGGCACTGACAATTTGGTCATACTACAATACTATACTCTATTTTTATCTTATGATGTACCGCAGGAAAGGCTACTAGCGCGAGCTCCTTGCTCTAGGGCAGATCTCCGAAGCACAAGCTCTCATACATTAAGGGCAGCTGCCAACGCTATGAGCTCGCACTTCTAGCCTTCACTGCGGTACAACATAAGGTGAAACAGAGTATACAGAAAGTAAAAAGCTCATCTACCGCCGCCAAAACGAATAAATACCGCCTTGATGGAAGGGAAGTCCTGGAACATTAAGACGTCTCTCCTGAGAGTCCTAAAGGCAGCGAAAGATTTCCGTCTTCACATATCTGTCCTGATCTTCTGACTGTCTTGGAAGTCATACAAGACGTGGACGTGCTCTGCCCGAAATCAGGCCTGTTTTGCCTCATTTCCTGTTTGGAGTATTCCGATTTTTATTGTTTGCCGGTAACTTGATATGCGAGGGTGCGTCGCAAACTGTTGTCCTAAAAAGACACTGAAAACGTGTTCATGCTCGCTGAGGTCTTTATTTTAACATGACCTCTAAGAGCCCAACTACCCAAAACAGAGTTTGCGACTTGAAATTCATTTTCTTTTCCGCCCAAAACAGTCGGTCGAGAACTGACCGGTTTCAGTCACACTCACTCTTGTTTCCATGGTCACGTGGCATTCCAACTATGTGTACCGAATATAGTCAAAGTCCTGGGTTATCTAAGGCACACATTCAATAATAAGAACGGAAAAAATTATAATCCCCATCTTTTGTGACCTCCAAAGAACTGCAAATACGTTGATTGAAAATAAAAGTAAAATATAGCACTGGTCACAGGAAGTATATATGTACTACATCATACTCAATATGGTGACGTATTGCGGTCTGAACGACGCGACGGCGATGCAAAATAAACCAACGTTGCGACAGGCTGGGGGTGCTACTTTGAAACTGTTGTTCGTGGTATTAGCCAATTGACCTTCAAGGGCAGAACATCGAGCGGAAGCGATTGAAGTGCGGAACAATTGCACGAAAAACGGTTCACGCAAGCTGGACGTCGTCGTCTGCTGCTTCAAAAGCTGGAGGAGTGGAGGAAAAAAAAAAAAGTGGTCTGGTGCAGCCACGTGACATCCTGTCACGAGTTTCCGTACTCGTGTTTCAGTTTCGAACAGTTAAGCTTATTAATATAGTAAAAATATATGTGACTCTGCAGCAAAATATTGATTGGGTAGTCTTCTGACACCATTTAAGTGCTTTGTTATGTGGCGGTTTCATATTATAAATTCTGTACCCCTCGCACAAGTTGATTTTTCACAACAAATGTATAGCAATACCTAAACCTGGCAAAGTATCAGAATACAATCAATACATAAGAAAAGTATTTCACTACCGACATGCAAATATATTTCTGAAGCATATCTCAATAGAGATATACGAATGCTCGAAAGTATCTCTGCGATACAGTTGCAATACATTGGCATAGTGATTCTGCCGAGCCCTGGTGCCCACCCGCTACTTTTAAAATGTTTGAGTACTAAGCAAAGCTCAAATCAAGCGCCCACCCCAGACTTTTGAGACCACATAGCCAATCGAAATGCTCCCCCTCGTCAGCCGCTTCTCCGAGCACACCAGTGCAAAGCAATGAAACCCACCCCATTATCTGCCCCCTTTGCATTTTTGCTCTCGAACCTAACAAGCACACATCCCCCAGACTTTCTGGGTTATTTCAAAATTTTGGGTGGACACTTACTCGGTATTTTTAAAGTATGTTGTTGCGAAACTGGCTGTACACTCGGCACCGAGTGCCCCTATCCCTAAGAGCCAAGTCGTCCATCAATGCAATGTGATCCCTTAGCATATTGTGCTTACCTTGATGCCTGTGTCCAGGTAATAGTCCCAGATCGCTCGAGCCATCACGATACCCACGGGCAAAATCGCATTAACACCCTCCTTGCCAGTTGAAGTCTTGATGAAGTCCGCTCCTGAGTGTGAATGAAACAACTTAGAACTCCCAAACTTTTACTACAGCACTGCCCATGTTCAGAAAACGGCAACAAAATATGAACATGCGATGTCTCAGTATGAGCCAGGTTGAAAGGGCCCAAAGCAATTCTGTCGCAGAAATCAGATCTAGATGTCTGTTCTTGCTCATTCTTTCCCCATGACCAAGCCTCACTAGCAATGTGTTGCTATAACGAAAAACTAGGAGAATGTTACTTTAACTACGAATGTGCTATGTGGGCAAAGGCTCATATTAGGCTTCAGTGGTTCAGATGTGAAATAGTGACTGTTGAACCATAGACCTAATCTGCCCACTTTTAGCACCGCTAAAGTAGTTTGGTTTCGTGTCTGTGGATCACTCTGCTGCCCCTGGCCTAGGTCAGCCAACTAGAATCAATGTACAGGTTAGACAATCTGTATTTCCTTCACAAGATGTTTCTCCCTAAGCATGTACACCGAAATTAATAGTAGTCAGGGGTCGGTGTTGCGGTACTTGCTTTCCTCCGATTCAAAAAAGTAAAATAGCTCTCTCTGTTCTCCACAAAAAAGCAATGTTTTATGCACAATGCAAAGGGACAACTAGCGCTGCTAATAAAACGTGCTTCCAATCGACTTCACTTGGAGGTTTTAAACGGATTTTGTCAAAGCTAGATTAAAGGGATACTGCAATGAAATTTCGGCGCTTATTTTATGGTCTATATGTGTTCAAAGGAGCAGTATCACATCGAACACACCAATATCTTGTTAACAAAGTCTCGAAAAATAATTTTAAAACAAATTAAACGACTAGCAAAGAGCACGTGTGAATGTCGCTAACGCCTCGTTTGTAATGCGCGTCTAGGAACCTTGACAGCTAGTGACGGTGAGTGTCTCGCCTCCGGCCACGATGAGAGAAGAGGGGAAGGAGGAACTCCCGTCTTCCCGAGAATCCCTTCTGTGTGTTCCAGAAGTAGCTGTTGTCCCCCTACAAGATTATAAAAGATAAACACGTCGCTCAAAATTCGCACAAAAGCAGCCGCTTCGGTGGCTGGAACGACTAGGCCCTCCCCTCGACGTCAGCCTCGCCGTAGCTTTGCTCGTTCCGAGACGACGTACGTCACGATTGCGTCGGATGTCACGTGCTCTAAGCTGGGCCTTGTCCGAGCGCTTGCTAGAATGGACCGTTTATAACAAAAAATACAGCCACCAGGCTCAAAATACAAACGTGCGATTGTCACTTACGGATATTGTGGATCATATTCCACCTATTTTTGAACACGACGGATATATTTCAAATAGAAAGGAATGCGAAACAAATTTTATGAATGAAACATACAATACTTGCACACAACAATAGCCACTGTAACTTCAAAGAGGTAGCACATGTTACAATGCCAAATATTTGTAGCATGGGAGAGCTGTGCCTTTGAACCATAATTGTACAAACAGGTTACTACGGTATTGAACCATGGTTAAAAGCACTAAAAAAAGACGTACACGAGATGGAAGATACGCTACTCACAACTGTATTGGGAAAGGAAGATGGAAATACATATATATATATATGATACACTTATCGTCACCCAGGCTACTCATGCGCGAGATACAAGAGCATAAACCGTTTACATATATTTATCGAAACAACGAATCTCAGCATTATACAATGCTATTGACGTGTCATTGTGGTCTCCTCTTCTTGATAAAATATGCCTCTTGCAGTTTGTGTGCCCTTTGAATTCTGCTTCTACCGAGAATCTTGGTATCGCCGAAGCGTGGCTCGCATTTGCAGGCCCTACAGTGCGCAAGCAACTGTGCCCCGTCATTTGTCTTTAAATTTTGCGCGTGCTCTCTTAAACCGTCAATCGTGCATCTTCCCGTTTATTATGCTCTTGCATATGCTCTTGTATCTTGCGCATGAGTAGCCTGGGTGACGATAAGTGTATCAGATATATATATATATATATATATATATATATATATATATATATATATGTATTTCCATCTTCCTTTCCCAATACAGTTGGGAGTAGCGCCCGTGTTTGTCTTCTATCTTGTGTACATCTTTTTTTGGCGCTTTTAACCATGATTCAATACAGTCAACACCAACTAGCCCACCAACAAGTTCTTTTATAGGTTACTACGGGGTGCAATAGACCAGTGCAGGGTGGTCATTACATTCTGAGTTGGGGGACCACTCTCTGGGTCTAGATTTTCCTCACAAGCCGCCGTATGCAAGCAAGTTTCTTTTATAACATTTGTCCAGCAAAAGATACACTCAATTCATCATCATACAGCGAATGTCTCCTCCACGAAAGCTAACATATATCTTCCCCGTCACTCCTTGCGTCGCAAAATATCTTGTCGATGGCTTTTCCGTACATATTTATTTCTTATTAAAATTAAATAGAATATATTAAGCTAATCCTGGGCTAAAAGATCATCATCTTCCTTCTCTTCGGTGTATTTGCCCATTGCATTGCCCATTGCCCATTAATTAAAAGTTGGAATTCACCACCGTTGCATTCACACTTTCATTCCCAAAATGTCACCTGGACAGAATCACCCACCTTCTTGCATCCTTACTGTCAATATAATCAGTTGAGTCATTTAGAATTGCAAAAACTAACCACTTTTGATAATGCAAACCTTGAGCGCTCACATTTTCACTGCATATTTGCGACAGTATTATTTCTATCCTGTATATTGTTTGTTTTGTTTTAGCCCCTTCCCTCTGTAATGCCTGTGGGCACCGAGGGTATTGAAATAAATAAATACACAAAATAAAACTTAAAACAATAGATCTCACAACCAAAGATGTCAGAATGTCAGCTGACATTCTCACATTTTCTGGGGACCAACTCTCTGAGGTGTGGTCAGCACACCAAGTAAACATTGTACGACGTACCGGCCATCATGCAGACCATGCTCGCCCTGTAGACATTCTGCAGAGTCCCCAGTTCTCCGGTGGCAAGGATGGTTTTGAGGTGGGCTTTCCCACATGCCTTCTTCATATCACACACCTCGGAGTAGACAGCTGCACAAGAATGGGTTCTGCGAATCACCGACGGTTGTGATACGATCGTTCTCACAAGAGGAGGTTCTCAACGTGTACCAAAGATGTCAAAAAACAATCTCATTTCTAAAATTAGGGAGTATCATCAAGACCAGACTAAATCGTGTTCCTACGAAGAAATCCAGATCTTTGCCTGCCTTTTACGACAGATAAAAAAGAACTTGGACGAGGAACTCAAGGGTGAAGAGTGGCAAAAATATTTCACTTATGATTTGATTAGACAGAATACAGTTGTTTACAGGTGTAGGTTCTAGGAAGGATAGCACCGTGCCATACGTGCCACTGAAACGCCGTCACAGTCGGCACGACGCTCAGACCCCCAGGAAGACTCAACTCGCTTAGAACCACTTTAGGAAACACAGGGTGCAGAAATACGAGCACTTTGCTCACTGCAGTAAAGAGACGATGCGAAGCGCAAACTCGACTGCTTTTTTTGTAGGGGTTGTGGTGACATCAGAACATCGAGCTCTGATTGGCTTCGACTGAAGGATAGTGGGTAGACCTCAAGGCAGCTTGCTTTGAGGTCTACACACTATCCTTCAATTAGAGCCAATCCGAGCTAGGCCGTCTGACATCACCCCAACCCCTACAAAAGAAGCAGACGAACTTGCGCTCTGCATTAGACTACAGTCGCAGACAGCCGAATAAATGCAGGTCGTGGCGACCACCGAGGATCTTATTATCGCCCCAACGAGACTGCGGCATTAGCCGAGGGGAAGGCAGAAGAGCGAATCACAAAGCAACAACCGGCGCGCTCCCTTTTTGTTAAACTGTCAATGGCTTTAGCGTGACATACCAGCTAGAGCCATTTAATTGTGCCTGACTATCGACACTCCCAACCTTTTTCTCAGGACCGCGTTTCGTCGCCACACTCGAGCGTCGTAATTCATTCGCTGTTTAGGGCTCCCGTCCCGTGCATGTACGCCTAACATACACTTTTCATTTCTTTTTCTACAGGCATCAATATGGCTGAATTCTGCCACATCTGCCATAGAGAATGACAGACGACGTCTACACTTCTGGCCACGCGGACGCCATGAAATGCGGTGCTTCAGTAGCATTCAGTAGCTATCGGCACACCACCTCACCAATATGGATCCTGTCCAAACTGAAGCAATCGAGGAAGATGCTTGATACTGTGATCCTAAGGCTTCCAGTGCAAGCGACATGAAAACATTACAAGCTACACCGCAGTCCTGTCCACCAACTTTGAAATGAAAAAGTCTTCGTCCGAATGCCGAAGATACTTCAGCACACGCAAAAAGGCTATGCTCCATTTCACCTTACAAAGGGTCACGGCAGTCCCCACGGGGCATCCCAGCCGGTACAATGCTATGAAAGCGTCGTATGACTATGCACCCTGGGCGTCGCTGCGCCCCGTAGAAGATCATGTGACACTTGCACTGCACTGAACTGGCTTAAAAATGGCTCACGGCACCCGCTGCTGTCCAACGTAAGGCAAAACGGGGCACCGAAGGTAGAAACTCACTTTCCCAGTCGCCGGTGAGAGCGGCAGCACGATTGATGACGATGTCGATCTCGCTGGCTCCATTTTCAACGGCGTACTTTATCTCGTCTAGCCTCGACGACAGCCCATATTGTCCCGTCGGAAATCCAGTCGCTACGGCGGCAATCGGAATTGGCTTTTCGAGGTCCAGCGTGCCGAATGCTTTGACGCAGTCAGCGACCCTGGCAGGGTAAACGCACACCGCTCCGGTCGTTACGACTGTAACAGAGGATTACTTTGTCAGTTGAAGGTTTCATGCAAACCAAAGCCAAACGCAGCGCCAATCCAGTATAGAAGCAACCGCAATAATTGCATTTCCTAATTCCCCAGAAAATATAAGAAATGTGCCGTTACATCTATATTTGTTGATTGGAACCCTCACTGCTACCCATTTAACAGAAACACAAGATGGCCACTTTGATGCAGTTTATTCTAACCAGTTGGCGTAGCACAGTAAACTTTACTATATAAGCTAGTGCCATGATTGTGGCATTCCGCCACATTGCTGGTTTTAACAACGGGCTCTGTCATGGGACAAAAGCAGGAAAAGTGAGCTATGGTGCATTCGACTATACGCGTTGCACACAGTGTAATAAAGATGATAAGCTGCCTCCTAATATGCTTCATTCTAAGGATTGAAGGGGAAAAGCTGTTTTTAACTGGCTCCCAGAATTGAACTCTATGAAAGAAACCAGAAAGCTTTGTGAATTCTATCTTCCAATCTAAAGAGCTCGAGCTAAAGGGACAGCTGCAAAACTTTCTTTCACATCAAGAAGGCGTCACAAACTTAAGCTTTGCAATCATAAGCTGTATTAACACAGCATTCCTGCTGTAGGAGTGAAGAGATCAGTGAACCAGCTCTCGCGATAAAAAGTTTTCCAGAAAATTAACCGAGGAGAATCGAAGATCGGTTTCAGCACACTTGCCTCCTTTCTCGATCCCAAGGCCGTCAAGAATGTCCGCACGAATTGGGTTGGCTGCTTTTGAGCAGAGGCGATGAACATTACTGAAGGTGTCGTCACCCGACAATGTTGTCAAGTCGATACAAGTGACCGCTCGCAGAAGCCATGCTGCCTGTAACCAGTCCAAGCAGTGCAGTTGGTGTACGGGTAAAAAAAACAATGGTCACGACACACTCCCTGAGAGTTTAATCAAATGCAGCCTTCAACTTTTCTGAAAATGTATCGATTTTTTCTTTACCAGAAAATGTGACTAGCAAACTTTTCTCTCAAAGGAACAGCATTATACTGATCTTAAAAATGCACAAAAGACGAGGACAGAGTAAGAAAATAGGTACGACAGACAAGCGCTCATTATGTCCAACATTTGGTCGGTGCAAATTGGCATATAGGCAATTTTTCTCACTGGTCAGCGGCAGAGTATCATAGGTCACATATTCGCACCCAAGAATGCAAAGCCAAGTGCAACTAGTTGCATACCCTACTCGGTTTTGTCAATGGCCGTGTCACATGTACTACACGCTGTCGTGCGACGACAAGGAAGTGAAATGAACAAAACTAACTTCTCTCGTTCAATGCTCTACCCTTCCAGAGACGAGCGTACAACATTTCTAATTATGAAAATTAACCGATTACATCTGAAAGGAAACCTGGTGAGCCAAAAAATTATGAAATTCCAGCTTTGTTTTATTTTTGTGGTAAATTACTTCATACATTATAAAACTTAATAGGAAAAAAAAAAAAAAAAAAGCACGGAGGACGGCGAGTTTCGCGAAAGGTTGGGGCCCATACAGACGGATGTGTCCGAACGACTGACCTTCCATACCCCTAAAGTAATAAATAAAAAAAATGGCACGTGAGATTAACCGGCCAAAGTTATAAGCGACATTTTTTTTTTTTTTCTACATGGTGTAGCAGTTATAAGTGAGAAATCAGCCATCTGGCCTAGCTAATCAATCAGTCAGTCAAACGTGTATTACCCCAATATTGGTTACCCGCAAAGTATGAAAAGGGGCCTAGCCAATGGGCATCGATGCCAATGAACATCATGTCACTGGCAGTGACAGGTATCCGGTACACAGCACCGCACATCAGGACGCCGATCTAATGTGCGAATACAGAATGCAGTTTCCAGTTTTTAGTGGCTAGAATGGCAAAGGATCCGTTTGATAGGAATCCACCTGGTAGTCTTTCTTGACCGCCCTCCGCGTTGTCAACACAGACGCTCTCTGTCGGACGGCCGGGAGGTTCACCTCAACTCTGAGGTACATGTCGGGGTCTGGAAAGAGAGCAATCCAAGTCGAAACATTTAAAACACGGGGACAGTCTCGAAGAACTGCGTTCCAGCTCAGATTTGTTGCGTTTACGGAGGCATTTGTCATAAATCGTGAAAGCGTACCGTGCTTCCGACCGGCATTGCTGTAGCTGTCCATTTTTCAGCCGCACGAGAAGCTTGGAGCGTGGGGAGGCAAGCTAAGAGGCTTTCCCCGAAGTACGAGCGGACTGTGGCATGAGCGACTACCGATAAGATAGGGCCATTAGGCCGAAGTAACAGTAATCAACTAATAAAATGTTTTGCGCCGGATACTTGAGGCATTCAAAATGGTTGCCAGGTAGGTGCCGCCACCTCGGGAGTTATAGAATAAGTAAAATACTTTTGCTTAACCTTGAGCAGTATAGGTGGCGCTTCCGGTCCGGCAAGCGGGGCAAGCGAAAGGTAAGCGTCTTTGAGATATTTGGAATATGCATTCAGCAGATGTCGCAACAGATGCATCTTCTGACAATGGCGGTAGAGAACCTGAATGCTTTAGGTGGCGTCAGATGAATTTTGGCAAATAACGGGGCTACGGTGGCTATAGTAACGGGGTGTGGCCCGTGATTGTGGGGAACAACGTTGGTGGGGAGCGCACCCAAAGCATCTACTGAAGTTCCCGGGATGGCCAAAGCATGGCGCTTGCTAACTGACTTCTCTTTTGTACGTCCATCTAAACAGCAGGAGTGGAATCGTTTCTCTATTCGCCATCACCAGAAGCTAGACCGCTGTGCACGTATTCGCCGCAGCATTCCTGTGCGCTGATATCGAAACGATCTTCAGTCACCATAAAGGCCCGTTCACACTCTTGCGACTGCTTGCGACCTCTTAAACCTGGGTTCCTTAAAACTTCTTAAACCAGAGAACACACTGGCGCCATCTATTGGGAAGCAGTGTAAACTCGGCGGTCTGGCATATTTTTTTTTATTTCTCGCGCAATATCCTTTCTTTTTTGGCTCGCAAAACTTTTGTCAATGTTATAAACGAGCCTTTCTATGGGTATTACGCACATTTGACCTCGGAAATCCCGCAAAACCTTCGCTTTTGTGAAATGCAGTTCTAGGGTCACCGCATAGATGGCGCCACAATGTCAGTGTGTTCCCTCATTCTAGAAACCACTGATCTCTATGACAATTGCTGGATCGCGTTTGCCCGCTCCGCGAATGCGGTCACTGGCGGCCATCTTTAGGTAGAGTTATATCACCTCTAGCCAATGTAAGCTGCTGCAGCCGCTATCATCCATCCATGGCAGATAGCGTTTTGGCAGGTGGGTTGGCAGGCTGCGGTCAAAATAGCGTGGGTGATATTGCGTGCTTGATTAAAATTATTTGACGAAACATGTTTTTGAAACCCGGCGTGAACAGTAGTCCGGTTTTTGAGGACCTGGTAAAAGTTTCACGAAATCGCAGCACCGGGAGAAAAGCAGCACAGCACGTATCGAAAGTCGCATCGAAAGAAGCATCGAAAGCAGACGACGGTATGGAGTCTGCTTTTGATGCGAGCTGCGCTGCTTTCCGCCGGTGCTGCGATTTCGTAGAACTTTTTCCGGGTCCTCAAAGATGAGGCTACTGTTCACGCCGGGTTTCAAGAATCTGCTTCGTCGAACAACTTCAATCAAGCACGAAATGTCACCCACGGTACAGTGTACTAGATCTACGGCTATTTTGTGGCAGCCTGCCGCCATTGCGCTGTCCGCCATATTACTATGATGGCTAGAGATGATATAACTCTACCTAAAGATGGCCGCCAGTGGCCGCATTCCGGTCCATAGGAGGAGCTGGTCAAACGCGATCCAGCAAATAGACATAGAGATCAGTGCTAGAAACATTTAAAGGGACCATGAAATGATTTTAAAATCGAGTTTCATCCACCGCACGTCGTAAAAGGTGTGAAAAGAAACACAAAAACACAAAAATAGGGAGCCCAAAAAAATTATTTGCTATAGAACTTTTAAAAGAAAACTGGACTCTTTTGCGCCTTCCTTCCTTCGCCTGTTCACTACGATGCATACGCAGAATCGGTGCACGTCAGCCGAATCCACATCGCCTATTGGGTAAGAGCCTACCTCACCAGCACCGCGATCGTAAACAATAAATAGCCGGCGAATGTTTCCTAAAAGTTTTGTTAAATAATATTCAGATTCACATTTTGTAGCATAATTAGAGATGTGTGGCGAAAATTGCCAAATTTGATAATGCTGAGAGCCAAGCGCCATCTATCGTGTGGTAAACGAAGCAACTACTGCGCGTGCGCTGTAGGGCAGGGCCGCCAGTTACTTGGGTGACGGCGACCGACGAACATTTATTTTCTTTGTTTTCCTTCCTCTCAAAACTCTGACTGACTGAACGTTTATTTTTCTACGTGTTCTTCCCGCGCGTGCCGACTTCAAGCAGCAAAAAAACAGTACTTAAAACAGACCACGACGAACAAGAACGCTGGATTCACCGACTCCGACGAAGCGTATAGGCCTAGCAGGCATTCCGACTCGGCGCTGCGTTGCTTCGTCGCAAGACCGTCTGCCTACGACCGGCTGGCGTGCTAAATGGAATATGCCCGCGCGACCCTTGTGGACCCTTCCCGTATTATAGTTTGATCACCGACCTCAATTCTAGATTAAGAGGTGAGGAGGTCAATCTCTTCCCCTTGTTTTCCGAGGCAGTGTTGACGAACACTCGTCGAAAAGGGACTCTCGTCGATTCTATCTTCTTGTTTTGTGTGATATAGAGCTGAAATAAACGCCGTATGGATTGCCTTCGTAACACGGTATGTACACTTTGTTATTGGTATGCCATTTTTATTCTGACAGACTGCACGTCACTGTCGACCCCGGTCCAACCTTTCTTTGCCGAGTGTCGCGTCAGTATCGAGTTGCAATCGTAAAAGAACGGTCCCGAAGCGCTTACCAACAGCGCGAATACAAGACTTCCATCAAGCGCGCGCGTCCGCTCCGAGTGTAAGCAGGTATTTACGTGGCTCTTGCTGACACTCGTAGTTCAAACGTATCTTTTTTTAACGTCGGCTCGCTCCTGCATCTCCGAGGCCGCGAAAAACGCCATCTACGTCGTTTTGCAAACGACTGACACGGGCCGGCCCTTCTGCCAACAATGACGGGGTGGTGACAAGACTCGCTGCACTTCCCAACAGGCATACCGGCGTATGGGACTAGTCCCATGCTGTCGCTGTAGCGCAACATATCTCATTGAATTTCGCTCAGCTGCGATGCGGCGATGAGAGGCGCCGATTCAGGAAATACGTCGGTGACATCAGCGCAGTAAAACCTACCGGCGCACCCCAACTCGTTGCCGCTAACACTCCCATTCTCCTACTGCCGAGAGAACTTCCGGTTCCGGAAACGGTCTACGTCACGGCTTCTTTTGCGGTCAGTTGGAGAGAATGGAAAAGTCGATATTTCAATAATTTTTTGTGTAAAAGTTAATAAACCGAGACGAAAACGGATGCCTGTTCGGCATTCAGTGAACATTGACGGTTTAATGTAAAAGTTATCTGGAAAAAGTAAAAAGGTCATTTCATGGTCCCTTTAAGAAGTTGTAAGAGATCTCGCCTCTCTCAGTCGTACTCGGTCGCAAGAGTGTGAACGGGCCTTAACATAGTTTCTCTTGCGTGCGAGCAACGTTGGTGCGAGCCAACCACGAAGACTGGTTTCCGTCTGGATTGCGTAACAGTGGCGCGAGGGTTTGAACTTTGAACTGCTAGCCGTTTCGCTCGTCTCGATCCCTTTTCTTCACACTTCCATACACAAACAGCTCCCCGTTGTTGCGGCTCGCCGACTAGGTTAGGGAAGCGCGAACCGAAGCTCGGAATAGTCTTGGCCTCGTTCTCGCGTTTATCGAGCCAATCGAAAGTTTGTATTTGCAAGAATCGCGAGTTCTCCATTGTAACCTGGCAACTTTGGCAATCTTTGTTTTAGCGTGACAACGAGTTCTCCATTGCAATCTGCAATCTTCATCGTAACCTGACAAACCCAGAACCACAGAAGGCTCATTTCTTGTTCACAAGAGGTGATTCTCTTTATATTTTGAAGGTTTACTCCGAATTCCCTAACACATAATTCTAACTCAACCTGCAAATTCTTGTAAAAAAATATAAATAATAAAAGTGGATTAATTACGGGTTTGTTGCGATCCGGACTTCGAAGAGTTTTAGAGATCCTTCTGATACGTCAGGTGCCCAATGACGATACGATGAATGCGCAAAGGTGTCGGCGGTGTATCGGGTATTGTTATCGAAGTCATTGAACGATCTATTAAAACTAAAATGCATTGAGGAGCCAGGCGTCAACGTTAAAATGAATGCGTGCTTGTCTTTCTAGATGGCTTATTTGTCATCGGACGTCAAAGTGCACCGTGAAGGCATTTGCAAGTAAGTATATGGTTCTTATCTCTATGAAGGTCTGAAGAATCAACTTCCTACAAATGCTTAGGAGGAGTATTAAAAAAAAGAAATCTAGGTATTTGGCAGATCCCACATGTCTATACCTTTCTTGAGGCTACAAATAAAACTGCATATTTGCTACAAGTAGGCATGAACCTTGTTTGTTTCCTCTCAATTCAACATTCCATCGTACTCGTACACTGGGTTGCGCGTTATTCGAAAATAGCTGTTCGGCACAGAATATACATGCTTTTGTTCGGTGCTCAACAACAAACCAATTCAAAATAATAACAAACAACACAATCTAAAAAAAAAAAAAAAAAAAGTCAATCACGAAAAACAAGGAGAAAAAAAGAAGAAAAAGAAGGAAAAAAGGAAAAAAGCCTCATAAACAAAGTCTATGACACTCGTAGATTTTCAGTTGGTGGTCGGGGGGCTCAGGCGGGTGGCTCCAGCCTGCTTATGTAGAGATGTCTGGTGGGACACACCGCCTGCGGATATCTTATATTTGGGAGTGTAGTATCTCGGGTTGTTCTAGACTTGGTCTGGAACGGTTGGTGAGAACACTAACATTTTATTTTGTTAACTGATTATTACTTGGCCAAATTTATAATAATGATGAAAGAGCGTTGTCGGCGTCTGATCAGGCCGCTGGTCCCATGTCGTCTCGCTGCTCACTCCGTATCGTCTCCCTTTTATTCCTCTGTCCGACTTCTTTTTAAACCCTCGTGCTGAGGGTTACCTCGCGATGGTCGTGAACTGGTGCAATCGCGAGGCAATACGTCAGCCAGATGAGACAGCAGTATTGGCAGTGCTATGGTGTGATTGCCAAGATGTTGTCTAATGTGGTGCAAAGGATGTTGCGCGGACTTATGTAAGCGTGCGGCAACATTCGTCGACGACGCAGCACTTGAGCCGGGTAAG